CCTGGATAGTCATCTGGCTGGGGTCATCTGGCCCTAGCACTCTTTCCTGCCTAGGCAGGGGGTCGGACTCAATAATCTGTTGAGGTCCCTTCTGACCCTAGCATCTATGAATCTATGAAATAAAAGAAATATATTATATATAAAGAAGACACATCTGTCTAATTTTATAGAGTCTCTGTAATTTTCTCTCTGTGGTACATAGGACAGACTTCCATTGGGTGAGGGGCAAAATGTAATTATGTGATTTAAAAAAATCTAATTGTGTGGTATTAAAAATGATTTAATGTTATGATCCCATAGAAATGGTTTGAGTGTTTTGCCAAACTTATTTTGATAGGAATCACCCACTCCTAGTTATTGTGATAATTAATATTAATGAATTATTTAATTATCACATTAATAATTTGATAATTAAAAATACAGCATAATGGCAGAATACAGTTTAGAGGTCCTTGCAAGTCTTTTGTTATCTGATATCCTATAGCTGTGATTACCTCTTTTCCATGGACCTTGATGCCTATAAATAAAAGTTATGCTCAATTTGCTCAGGGAAGTGTTTTCTGGCATTTGCTTCTGAATAAGTAACAAGTGCTAGATTCACTTAAGGTGCAATTCCAATATGGCACACAATTACAACATAAATCAACTAACCAACTCTTTCGGAAATGTAACTGTGGTATGTATTATAAAATACCCATGATGTCTTCTAAAAATTATGGGTCTGATTGTCTTTGGCCTGGTAGATTCATAGATGTTAGGGCTGGAAGGGACCTCAGTAGGTCATCAAGTCCGACCACCTGTTCTGAGCAGGAAAGAGCGTTGGGGTCAGATGACCCCAGCTAGGTACTTCTCCAGTCTCCGACTGAAGACCCTCAGGGTAGGGGAGAGCACCACCTCACTTGGAAGCCCATTCCAGATTCTGGCAATCCTTACCATGAAGAAGTTCTTTCTAATGTCCAACCTAAATCTGTTCTCTGTCAATTTGTGGCCATTATTCCTAGTTACTCCAGGGGGTGTCCTAGTAAATAGGGCAGCTCCTATTCCCTGCTGCCTTCCCCTGATGAATTTATAGGTACTTGAGGTGTTGGGTAGGGTGAGATTTTCAAAGGCACCTAGATGGCCAAATTCTATTGACAAGGGTCTGTCCCTAACTTCCCAGCCAAAAAGAAATACAAAGCAGGAGTAAATCATAGCTGCTTTGATTTGTTGGGGTTTCTTTTTTCCCCTCCACTTTAATTCTGAACGTGGGTAAATGGCTACCCAAGGCATAAAACAGCCATCTGTTGGTATTAGAAAAAGCATAGTAATAGAAATACTAGAGCTGTGAAGAGGATAGGGTTCTGGTTTGCAAAGGATTTAAAGATTTCAAAATATGTCTTAATGCTGGAATGCAAACTGAAACGTTTGAAATTTTTTATTAAGAAGAATTCTAAAAAAATATATTTGTCAGGTAGAATGAAGTGTTTCATTGCAACAAAATCAAAATATTTCAAAATAAAATGAGGTGTAATTTCAAAATGAAAAATCAAAGTGCTATGTGTCAAAAAATGTCAAAATAAGAAACTTTTGCAGAAACTTTAGTCAGAATATTTTTTCTGGTTTTCTTTTGAAGTAGAATACCAGTAAAATCCACCTAATTTCTTAAATGTTTCTGTTTTGACTGACCTGCATAGTCTTATAGAATACTTTTCTGTTTATTTGACTATCTCTAATATATATCTTAAAATTAAGGTGAAAAGTACATATAAGGAGGTATTGCTCAAAGTAGTTACATTCCTCAACCCTAGAGACCAATAAAAGCAAGAAGATACAGAGGTTCTATGTGTTACCTCTTCTCCCTCTTCAATGTGATAATCTTTTCTTTGGTTTGGCCCTCCCACAAACATCACGTTCAGCTGATAGCGGTGCCTGCAAAAATATTTAGAAGTCATCAGTAACAGTATCTTTTCTGTCTATATTTCATTCTAAATTTCATTCTTTTGGATTTTACAGACAGTAACTAATTGAAGCAGTGTGGTCAAGGGCAGGGGTGGCCAACCTGTTGCACAGATGCCACAAGTGGCATGGGCACCCTCTGTGTGCAGCCTGAAGCTGATTTGGGGCTGGAGGGGCAGGCATCACAATGGCAGATAGGGCAGGGAGTAGAAGGCTGAGCAGAAGATTGGTCAGGAAATATAGGGTAGGGGGCAGAAAGCAGAACCACAGATTGGACAGGAGAAGGAAACTGGAGTAACACTCAGCGGTTAATTTGTGGTATGCCTATGAAAAAGGTTGGCCCCCAATGATCTAGAGAACAGGACCCTGGACTCAGATTGAGGAGATGTAAGTTCTATTTCCAGCTCTGTCATTACCCTAAAGCAGGCATGGGCAATTATTTGGACCCACTTGTCACACAGACAGTTTTGGGGAGCTATCGCAGGCCAGTCAGCATCCCCACCCCCTGCAACAGCTCACCAAACCTGCAGCTGATGGGTCCTGTGACTCCTTCCTGCCACTGCCATCACCACCAGTTACCATTAACAGCTGAACACACAGCCCTGCCCACCCTATGCCCACTCTGGACTCACCCTGCCTGGAGCAGATCAGCTCCAGACCAGCTGGGACCCAAGTGCACAGCCCCTTTCTTGGCCCTGGCCTTCCCCACACCTGCTCTGGACCCTTCCCAGCCAGAGCAGACCAGCTCCAGACCAGTTGGGACCCTCACGCACAGCCCCAACCCCAGCCTGCCCCACAGCTGTTCTGGACTGCCCCACCTCAATGAGCAGTGGCCAGGTAGAAGCTGCTGCTGGGCCTGGGGGAAAAGCAACTGCCTCCCCCTTTCCTGTTGCTGGACTGTTCTTGCTCCAGCTGCCCAGAGCTCATGCCTGGGCCACCCTGTGACTTCTCTCCATTGCCACTGCAAACCTGCCTGGAGGTGGCACTAGTGGTGGTAGTGACGGTGCCAGAGAGAAGCTGCAAGGCAGCCAGGTGTGGGCTCTGGACAGCTGCAGCAAGAAGGGCCTAGCCATGGCAAGGGGGAAGTGGATACTTTTCCTCTGTACCCAGCAGCAGCTTCTGCCTGGCCACTGCCGCTGCTCATCATGGGCAGACCAGTCTGGAGCGGGCATGGGGCAGGCCAGGGACAGGGCTGTACACATAAATCCCAGCTGATCTGGAGCTGGTTTACTCCAGCCAGAGTGGGTCTGGAGTGGGCGTGGGGTGGGCTGGGGTCAGGACTGTGTGCATGGGTCCCTGCTAGTCTCCATGGGGCCAGGGCTGGTGGTGGCAGCTGGAAGAAGCCATCACCACCTCGGCCACCTAGAAATGGAGTACAGTGGCAAAGCTGCCCCAGCCCCACTGCATGCCTGCGGGTAGCAGGACGTGTGCCATGGGATGCATGGTGCCTGGGCCAGGTGGGACCAAGCAAACCACAGGAGGCTGGTCAAAGTCCCTCTTCAAGCCTCCATATTTCGCCCACCCCTACCCTAAAGGGTGACTTTGGGCAAGTCACTTCCTGTAGTTTAGTTCCCACATCTGTAAAATGAGAATGATACTACTGAACTTCTTTGAGAAATTCAAGTTAAAAAATAATATATGACGATTAGGTATTATTATCTTTGCAAAACAATCTGATGAGAGGAGAAGCTCTAGGTAAAATATAACTTATCACAGCAAGCTACTGAAGTTAGTAACATCATGCCTGATTCCTCTCTCACATCAGGCTTACAATGGGATAATTTCACTACCCTTTCATCTGATTTAAACTGGAGGAAGTGAGAGGACAATCCAGCCCTTTATCTGATTTATTCACTCTTGTAAATTCCAATTACCACTTACTCTATCAACTCTACAAATCAAGTACCAAATGTAGCTTTCCTTGGGTTGCCTGTGGGCCAGGTTATATCTCCAAGGTCCAGGTGCAAAGGAACTTGGATCTTACCCAGATCACACTGTATTTGCCTTCATGGCAGCCTCCTTTACCTCATGTCATTTACAGGGTCCTAAAGCCGTCAATGTGGCTGAGATTTACACATGGGGAAGAGATAGAGGTCAGGCCAGTGACAGGACAGTAGAGTACAGTACAGTACAGGCCAGTGACAGTGACCTATGGCCAGTTAAGGCTGGCCTTGAAAAGTTGATACCATCTAGGGCAGGGCTATCTAAGTTCTAAGTTTGCTGAGGACTCGATGCCCTTCAGGCCACACCAAGGTGAGCCATAGGCCTCTGGACTGCATGGAGGCCCCATGCTGCACAGACAGTCCTCCCTCCCAGTCCTGCACCATGCATATATTTGGATGTCCCAGCCCTGTACTGCATGCCCATGTGGGCACACCCTCAACCTCTAACCTGTGTGGGTGAACCCCTGGGGCACCACGCACCCATGCCTCCTCAGGATCACCCTCAGCTCTCAGTGTCATGATGCACTTTTTCAGCCCCTGAGGCAGGGGCAGGAAATGGAAGATAGAGGAAGGAGGGAGAGGCTGGGGACCATAGGTAGAGGGAGAAAAAAATATTTGGAGAAGAGGGAAAGGTAAGGTAAAAGCAGGTAAGTCTATGGGGGAAGTGGCAGGGGAGGGGAAAGGGCCATGGTGCACGGTGCACAGATCGAGACCGCAGCAGTAAGGTAGGGAGCAGGGCACAAGCAGGAGCAGGGGCTGAGGTGAGTGGGGCTCTGGCCAGGCCAGGTGGTGGGACAAGTAGAGGCCCGGGGGGCACGTGCTCCGTGACCTGTGCATGGGGTGGACGCGGCTGCAGCTGCATGCTGCTCTTTGAGCCCCACTGAACGGAGAGCCATGCAATGCCACATACATCCCACTGCCAGGCAGGCTAGGGGTGGGGTGCAGCTGCAGCAGGGAGCAAAGCGCAGGATGCAGCAGCAGCCTCCTCTGCCCCATGCACAGATCGGGGGGCATGTGCCGTCTGGGCTTCTGCTTGTCCCACCACCTGGCCCAGCTGGGGCCCTACTCACACTAGCCCCTGCTTCTGCCTGTGCCCTGCTCCTTCCCTCACTGCTGGGACCTCGATCTGCCTCCTCTCTGTTCCCCACGGCAGTGAGGGTGAGTGGGGCTGGGGCAGGGGCAGGCCATGCACAGCCAAGGCAGGGCGCAGCATGAAGCCATGAGTGGTTTGTCCAGGGGGTGCCCGGCATGGGGAAGGGGTGGTGGCCCCCACCCTGCATGCACCCCAGAAGGGAATGGGGGGCATGTACCCCGGATATGTGTGGGGCAGGGTGGGCTGCTGCTGCAGACTGGGGCCGGGGCTGTACTGGGCTCTTCTGGGGGGTGGGGGTGGCAGCCAGTAGTGGGAGAGGCAGCCAAACTCCTTCTGTTTGTGTTTTGATGGAGCTTGCTATCAGCAGAGATAAGGATAGGGGCTGGCAGCACTCAGGACAGGTGGGCAGCAGCAGCACTGGGAGGAGGGGTCAGGGGAGCTATGGTGAATTTTGGGTTGGCTACAGCCCCACCCCATAGCCTCTCTTCCATCACTGCTGCCACCTGCCTGGAGCGCAGCCCCCCACCGCACCAGGAAGAGCCCCGTGCAGCCCCAGTCCCAATCCGCAATGGCAGCCTGCCCTCGCCCCACACAGATCCGGGGGCACACCCCTCCCATGCCTCCCAGGGTGTGCGTAGCAGCAGGACCTGTGTCCCCCAGATGAGCTGCTCGTAGCTCCAACCTGTGCCCCATCCTGGCTGTGCAGTGCCTGCCCTTGCCTCAATCCCAGCCCCACTCCCTCCCTCACCACAGCATAAGCACCCTTTCCCACCCCTGCTGCAGCCACCAGTGGCCATATTGCTCCCCCATTTTTTGGAGGCTAAGCCCTGTTAGCCCCCTGCTTCCACCTCCTATGCTGGAGACTCCAGCTGCTGTTGCTGGAAAAGAGTGGGGAGTGGCAGTGTGGGGAGTGGCAGCTGAGTAGTAGCCCAGGGACCACCATTTAACCCTCCAGAGGCTGCCAGTTGGACAGCCCCAGCCTAGGGTATTTTCTTTCCCACGTAGCACTGGAGACCCCCATTAAAAGGGGTGCTTAGAACCTCTGGGAAGACCCTGGTACTGTAATACCGAGGAAGCTTTACTGGAATGCCTAGGATGGCAGCTGGAGGGCATAAAGAGAGAGAAGAGCAATCTATCTCCATGCCTGCACCCAAATAGCTCAGTAGAGTCAATGAGAGAGTTTCTGAAAGGCCTAGAATATAAACCTGTGTTGGTTTTGCTTTGTGCTGATACATTAATTTTGATTATTACTAATAACATTTAAGTGATATCAAATAGTCTCTATCATACCTGAAATAAAGCCATAAAAATTAAAAGAGATCTCAAATCTACTATTTTTATAATGGGCTGTTGTGTGCATTATGATAATAAGTTGCTGACAGCCTGCAGATTAAATATTAATTTCTAAAGACTAACCAAAATATTTTCACACTTTACAAACATAAAGTCACTTTCTACTTATACAAGACAAGCACAGAAATTCTAGCAGAATTGGAAATAACATAGCTGACAAGCCATGAACAAAATCCAAAGGGCAAATTGGACTGCACAGTAAGAAGCCAGAAGTGTGTCTCATGACTGGATACTGAATACTGAGGGCAGCTAATTTTTACAGAAATCCAGGTATTTTGTTTCAGTGCCAAGAACTAATATTTTAAAAGAACAGAGGAGGTAGTACTGTAATTCAACTTACTGACATTGAACTTTCTGTTAAGCAGTAATTGAAAATATCAGGTTTACTAGGAACACAGCTCACCATGCTAAAACTACAGTGCTTAACATACTATGAAGCCAACCAAAACAAAATTATTAGTGGAACTAAGAAGCATAGTAAAACCTTAGTTACCAACTGTAAATACAAGTTCCAACGGATAGCTTTGACCACACTGCTGAATACAATTTTCTAGTACATGGATAAGAAGAAAACACATGGACTT